TGTTCTTGCCATGCAACTGACGATATTTCTTGCGTCTTGTGCAGAGCGGTTCGTCGGAGCTAGTGGGCGCTTCTGAGTTGAAGCGATCGGATTCGGTGACGGACGTGGCGCTCGAGGTTGATACTGCGAGAACTACAGCGGCTGCTGCTCCTGCTGCTGCTGCCTTGAGCAGTTGAAGCATGAGTGTCCGGTCGTGCAGCATCGATGACAATACGGAGGTGAGTTGGGGATATGGTAGGTGTAATGCTTGACACAGTAGTTGCACTGGGAGCAAGATGGAGGCGTGATGAGATAACCAGCATACTCCACCAGAAAGTCCACATCTGCCATGCAGCAAATGATGGGCAGCCTCCTCTTTGGGGGCAATACACCTACAGTGACAGATTCACTGAGGCGCCCCTGACCTCCCACGTGCCCCCTGTTCCCGCCACTCCGATTGCCACCCCCCCTACCTATCCCCCTTCCTCCCCGCCCCCTCGTCGCCCTGACCTTGCTTCCTTCCTTTGATGCCAGCCCGGAATGACTATCCGCAACCTCCTCTTTCGTCCCACTCTCCTCCACAATCCCTAGTCCAAAATACCTTGCACTCGGGTCATCAGGAAGATTCACAGTGACTTCATCGCCCTGAGGCCATTCCTCCCACACGAGCGCAAAATCCGCTCCATCCAGAGGCTTGGGGATGGCGCCGATCCTGAGAACCAGGCTCGGAAGACCTCGAAGTGGGTAGCGTATCGGAAGGGTCTTGCCCTCGGGGCTGCCCTTGAGGCACTGTTTCCTCAAGACGGAATCCGAGCCATAGATTCGGACCCACTGCAAGATGCAGCCAACCCGATATGTCATGACAGCAACGACAGGGTTAGTGTTGACAGGCACGAGCTCAAGGCTGAAACGTGCAGTGGTGCCAGCAGATGCAGCGGTGTCAGTCAAAGCACTCATCTGGGCTGTGGCAGCAGCATTTGAGGCGGCTTCAGTGACTGGAGATGGCAACACTGGCACAGTGGCTGTGGCTGACCCTCCGAGTACTGCTCCCGTTCCCCCTCCACCTGCACCGCCCCTCACACCTGCTCTTTTCGTTCACCCATCTCTTTCCTCAGAGGGTCTCTCCTCAGCCTCTCCCTGGCCTCGTCAATAGCTGCGTCCTCCACCCTTGTCTTTCCCTCGTTGTCTAGATCCATGTAGAACATCTCCCCTTCCTTGGAGTACTCTAGCTTTGAGAGCACTGTGGCAGCTGCAAGGGCAAAGTCTGTTACACTAACGCCACTCACATACATGCCCTTGGGGATAACCTTCCCTTCCATGTTGCTGCTGGCACCACCCCCACCGCCCTCGCTCTTGCTGCTGCCACCTCCTCCACCGCTCTCTTTCTTGCTGCTGCCACTGCCACCACTGCTGATGCTGCCCGCACTGCAATGGGTGCACCTGAACTCCCTCCCTTCCCCCCCTCCATGCTCCAGAATCCAAGCCATGCCATCCACATACCTCTCCCACACAGGCCCCTTCAGCTGTTCCTTCCAATTCCCGACCTTCCCACCCTTCCCTTCCTTGCCACTGCCATCGTTGCCAGTACCCCCACCAGGCCTGTCATGCTTGCTTTTCCCTTGTCCTCTGAGCCCACCAGTCCTTTTCAGCATGCACACAGCCTTCGTTATCACATCTCCCTCATCACTCTCCATCATCTCCACCATACGCTGCAAAAACTGCCCCATCGGCCCACCACCCCCCATGTGCCCTAAAAACCCACCTGGAAACCCCCCCCCTCTGACACTCCTACCGGCCATCCCCTTCTCCTCCGCGTGTTCCCTCAGGCCGCCTGGCAGCAGATTTTGCATGTAAAACCCGAACCCATCCTCCAGCGCGGCACTCTCCTTCACCCCAAGAATCTGCACCAAGAGGGAAGCGAATAATTCTTTCTCCTCCTGCCTGCCCGCACCCAGCTCGGCCACAATGGCTGGATACGCCACAGCAGATGTGTCGCAGCGAGCGTTCCACAGAGTGACGATACGAGGGCACCTCACCACAAGCACGAGAAAAGTGGCGAAGTTGACAGCACGGCGGTAGGTAGCCCAGCAGCTGCTGCAGCGCCAGCAGTAGGTCCAGACTGCAGAAGCAGCAGCCGGAGCGGCAGCAACAGCAGGAAGAGTTACCTCGATAGGAGAACATTCAGCACCCAAAATGGATGGCAGGCGGGATCTGATCCTCCCCAAGTCCATGAGCACGCCCACACGAGGCTCAGCCATCCACTCGAGCAGCATCGCTTCCGCACAGAAAATAGGTACCGTCTCACTCTTCCACTGACGCTCCTTATGAGGTGGCAGCCCCCGTCCCCCTACCACCTGCACCGGTACCCTTGAGGAGTAATCTAGAAGGGCCTTGGTTTGCCGGTTGGGTGGCACCTGAGGAACGGATTCGCGCTGGTGCTGGCGCAGGTGGGAGCGGACGACCTTGAGGTTCTGCATGGTGAGGGCGTGCTTTGCATAGTCGCTGACTGCATGATCAAAGCAACACTCGCATGCGAGCAGGCCCTTGCCATATCTCACGTCCAGGTAGTGAACCATGTCCGCCCGACACAGCAGCTGAAGCTTCAGCGATCCTTCCTGAACTCCCGCTCTCTCTGCTCCCTCTCCAACCTGTACCTTGGCCTTTCCTGCTCCGCCTGGGACTGGAGCATGCTTATGCAAAATTACTCCCTCGCCCTCGTTGCTCCCTGTGCTCCCTCGGTTTTCCTCTGGAAAATCAATGCTAGTGATGGTTGAGTGCTCGATTTCACAGGCTCCAGCACTGACAGCCGTATGTCCAGCAGCAGAAGCTTCAACCTTCTCCTTGTCTCCACTTGCTGTTCTTCCTCCAGCTCCTTCTACATTCACCCGCTCCTCCTCTTCCCCGTCGCTGCTGGAGTCGATGTGACCCCACTTGCTGTAGTCAATGCAGCTGGTGGTGGAAGCAGCAGGTGCAACAGCAGGTGTGGCGGCAGGAGTAACCTCAGCTGCAGCAGCAGGTGTGGCGGCAAGAGTAACCTCAGCTGCAGCAGCAGGTGTGGCGGCAGGAGTAACCTCAGCTGCAGCAGCAGGTGTGGCGCCAGGTGTAACTGCAGGGGTAGCAGCAGAACCAGCAGAAGAAGGAAGATCAGCAGCAGGTGTGCCGTCAGGTGTAATTTCCTCAGGTGCAGCAGCAGGTGCAGCAGCAGGTGCAGCAGCAGGTGTAACATCAGGTGTAACAGCAGGGGTAACAGCAGGTGCTGCGGCAGGAGTAACCTCAGCTGCAGCAGCAGGTGTGGTGGCAAGTGTAACCTCAGGTGCAGCAGCAGGTGTGACGGCAAGAGTAACCTCAGGTGGAGCAGCAGGTGTGGCGCCAGGTGTAACTGCAGGGGTAGCAGTGGAACCAGCAGAAGAAGGAAGATCAGCAGCAGGTGTGCCATCAGGTGTAACCTCCTCAGGTGCAGCAGCAGGTGCAGCAGCAGGTGTAACAACAGGTGTAACAGCAGGTGTAGCAGGTGTAACAGCAGGTGCAGCCGCAGAACCAGCGGAAGAAGGAAGAGCAGCAGCAGCAGCAGCACGCGGCACAGCCGCTGCAGCTAGAGCAGCATGCGTATCCTCACCATGTTTATCTCTGCCCCTGCCCTTATTCACCCCTTCTCCTTGCCCTGGATTTACAGGAAGCACTTTAATGATTGAACTCGATCTAAGCTTGGATTGCTCCACAGTAGAGTCAGAAGAGAGGTACACCACCTGCCCGAGAGCCATGAAACGGACCGGCTGCGTGTGATGCACCAATTCGTTTTCCCCTGCCGCTCCCTCACCGTCGTTTGCTGACCTTGCTGTTGACGTTCCTAGTGGGAGGCAGCAGTTTGGCAGGTGGAATTGAAACAGTCAGTTGAAGACTGATCGGAGAGAGTCCGCCGGAGAGACAGCGATGTGAATGTCCATGTGGGATGCTACAGATGGAATATCACGGCTGTTAACGAATTGCAAATCGTCGCTATCGTGGTCGCTGGCTTAGTGTTGAACTAAATCACACGGAATCCTGAATCGAACCTCGAAGGCCATGATGTGCGCAGCTGCAGGCAGGTCGATGCGAATATGCCACTGGTTTCAGCTGCGTTTTTTTCGTCGCCAAGCTAGAATCAGGAGCCTTTTAGGATACGTATCAGCTCCATACTTGCTGTGTTCACTCCTAACGAATCTCGTCTGCAGTCTCTCTCTACCTCATAAGGAAATTCATTCTAAGGATGTGTCCGAAGTAAAATTGTGACGTCCGGGGACGTCATAGGAAGGTACCATACGGTATTTGTTGTTTTTAGAACGGTTAGAAAGTATAAAGTCTCGGTTATGCGACGTCCTGAAACCTTCCGCTCTACTTCGGACACCCCCTAAGGGCGGGTCCAAATAGTACGTCTGATTGCGGTGCAGTCATTTTCTTAGTGTTTCAAAGCGTTCGATTAGCAACCTAGAATGGTTAGGTATGGTATTTTGCGATAACGAAATCGTGAGTTTAAGGAAAATCCCTTTTCCTTATCGAGCCTCGCTAACATCGAGTACAGCCCCGACATTCGAAATTCCAGGCTCGGCCCGACAATTCAGATTCGAACTACGTTCGAGACCCCAAGCCTGCACGCGGCATCGCGTCCGACACTTCCGAGTCTCGAGGCGCCCCGAACCACCTCGCATGTGTTTCGTGGCCTTTCTTGAGGCTCTCTCGCTAGGCTAGCTGTGCTTGTATTTAGCCCTGTGCTTCATTTGTACTCGACACACTTTAATTACGACCTCACTATTGCATAACTCCACTCATATCCGGAGATTATCATAACAACTGGTATCAGAGCTACGTTCCTGCCCATTTAGGCTTCCGTAGTGAGGTAGTTTTAAGAGGGACCTTGCACGTTATGAGACAAGACCTGTCAAGTGATTGTGCAGGAACTTCTTCAGTTCCGCCGACTCCGTCGTGTGCGCTCCACGTCTCTAACGCTGCAGGTGACCTTAGTGTCTTTAGTGGCATTAGCTAGTTAGGGTAATTCATGGTCAATAGTCCTCCTCGCCGTAGTACTAGAAATATGACCCCCGAGCAAATAACTGAGTTGTCAGAGGCGGCAGCAAGCGCATCCGTACTAACGACGAAGGTTGGCGAAATGATGGCGACGATGTAGGCCATGGCCTTTGAGCTCGCTGCGTCGAAAGAGGAGAACGTGAGCCTTCGCTAAACGCATGGTGCGACACGTCAAGAGTCGCCTGTTACCTTGGACGAAGATCGTGCGAGAGCGCATCAGCCGCAGGCGACGTCAGCGTCACGTGACGACAATTCGAGTGAGCGATGGGCAGTTGTGAAGATAAAACCAGCCATGCCCCCACCGTTCAGCCCCCTGGAGAAACACACCACGCTGAGTGAGTGGCTGTTCGCTATGGAACTGTTCTTCAATGCCGCCGACGTCAACGACGATGAGACACGCGTCAAGATGGCGGTGTCTTTATTACGCGGACCTACATTAAGTTGAAGGCGACAGTGCGTGACATCACGAGGAACTCCAACGGACCGGCAACAGGCGATGGACGGGGGGCAACGATTAGCTTCAACTCCTACAGGATCCTTGTTTGGTGTGGCCGAGATACTCACCTGGCAAAAGTGGGGTGCATTGTTTCGCCGACGCTTCGAGCATGTATCCGCATGTGAAAACGCTCGTGTGAAGCTGCACGGATGGCGTCAACTAGGTTCTGTGTTGCAGTACACATCATCTTTCCTTGCCATCTGCGACGAAATCGACGATCTAGACGAGATGTAGAAGACAATTCGATACATCCTAGGGCTGAAACCGGAGGTCCAGCGAGAAATTCGCATGCGCCGCCCGGCGATGTTCCTGGAGGTGCAGCAGGTCGCAGAGGTGTGGGACAAGAACAGCGTATGGCCGAGGACGAATTTCCAGGAGGGGAGTCGTTTTCGAGGGCAGAAAAATTACCCATCCATCAAAGGCGTGGCGACACCGTCAAATAACAGATTTTATGGCCGGTGTTATAAATGTGGCCAGCAGTGGCACATCATGCAGGACTGTCTGGGGTTGATGAAATTGAGAGCTAACGACGAAAGGAAGCCGAGAAATGGACAGCATCAGTAGCAGCCGGGGCCCCTACTGTTGAGGCTTCGTCGCCCGAAGATCACCATTCCCACCGAGTCGTAGTGCCGATCTATGCGATCGACCACACCCGATTAAAGGGGAATAAACCAATTGACTGCCCTGTACTGGTGGAAGGGCACGTTGGCAACACCATATTAAAAATATTTGTGGACGGTGGAGCATTACACAATCTGTTTGATGTGACAAGAGCGAAGAAACTGCAACTGCAAATGGAGAGGTGCATTCCCGAGATTGACGCGATGTTGGTCGATGGCACGCCACTTGCAATGCGGGAGCGGGTGAAACACGTTCGCATTGATTACGACAGCCAAGTCAGTTGCCATGAAGATGCTGGCAACAACGTTGGACGGCTGCGATGTGCTCATGGGGTGCGATTGGCTTTGCACTTACAATCCAAGATCGATTGGAGGAATGGCGACATTCGTTTGAAGGGAGTGGCGAGTGGCGACGACTGCCAAAGTGGAAACCACCCAGCCCTCAGTCGACACTAGTGAACAACGTGACGATCAAGCGTGTCATGGCACGTGGCGTGGACATCTACGCCGTCCGATGGATCGCATCATTGGAGGTGGCTGAATAGACCGACCCGGAGAAGATGTGTGCTGCTATACCTGAGGACCTGGTGAAGATCATGCGCAAGTACGAGAAGATTTTTCCTGATGACCTGCCGCCCGACCTACCATTCGAATGACCACACCATAAAAAAATTGAGCTGGAACCTGGCGCGCAACCGACCGTCCGATTGCAATGGCGGCTGAGTCAACTGGAGCTGATGGAGCTGCGTACGCAACTGGATTATCTCCTGGAGAAAAAAAATGATCTGCCCTTCCACATCACCCTCACCGCGTCGATTCTCTTCACCCCAAAAAAGGACAAAGGCATACGGACGTGTACCGATTATCGAGCGCTCAACAACATTACCATTAAGTCCCGTTACCCGATTCCGCGAGCCAAAGATCTCATCGACCAACTTCGTGGGGCTAGGATTTTTTCCAAGATTGATCTACGAGGAGGTTACCACTAGATCCGTTTCGAACCCGTTAACCGACTTACTGCAGAAGGGAGTTTTTTTATGGATGGGGGGAGAGGCAGCAAGCTGCGTTTGACCAACTGAAAACTTTACTTATGACATCACCCATTCTTCGTATTGCCGACCCCGACCGCCCATACAAACTGGTTACGGACGCCAGCGACATCGCCGTTGGCGTGGTACTGCTACAGGACTTTGGCGAAGGTCTGCAGCCAATCGCCCACGACTCGCAAAAACTCCACGGCAAAGAACGGAATTACCCAGTTTACGACAAGGAAATGCTCGCAATCGTCAATGCTTTCAAGACCTAGCACTGCTACCTATCCGGTGCCGACGTTACTGTCCGAACAGACCACAAGTCCCTACAGTTCGTCTGAGCCCAACTGACCCTCAATCCACGACAGATTCGTTGGCTCAAATATCTCGAGTCCAACTTCCACTACCGCATCACCTACAAGAAGGGGACAAATAGTATTGCCGATGCCCTTTCCCGCCCTACTGCCCATTCAGCCGCCGTACTAATCGCCCAAGCTAACCCGCTCCTAACTAGACTGTTTAACCACGGCTACAATACGGATCCTCTCTTCACCTTTAACGGCCACCAGGCCCTGACCACTCAACGAGGCCACTACCACCACCTAAAAGCTGGTACTGACCGAATTTGGGTGCCATCCTACCGATTATTACAGGAATTACTGATACTGGAGGTTCATCACGCTAATTGCTCAGGGCATGTCGGGGTTGATAAAACCTTGAAAATGCTCCAACGTCATTATTACTGGCCGAATGCGAGCCACGACGTGCAGCAATATGTGGCCTCATGTCCCACCTGCCAACTCATGAAATCCTCTCCCGTTAGATCCGTTACATTTCTAACGGCTGGATTACTGCAACCGTTAGAACTGCCCACCAAGCCCTGGACACACGTGTCCATGGACTTCGTGACAGGACTACCGGCTGGCGCCTCCAAAAGTGATGCTGTACTCGTGGTCGTTGACCGACTCACAAAAATGACCCATTTCGCGCCATGCCGAATGATGATCACAGCCAAGCAAATTGCCAAGCTGTTCATCTAAACCGTCGTTCGCCTGCACGGAATCTTGAAGGCAATCGTGAGCGATCGTGACCCCTGATTCACTTCCATTTTTTGGACAGATGGAGACGGTTGATACGGACAACCTGCACCGACCCGACCCAATGGGAAGATTCCCTTCCCCTGATCGAGTTTGCATATAACAACGCCCCTTTGTCAACGACTGCCCAATCACCGTTCTACTTGAATTACGGCCTAAACCCCACAACTCCCACTACACCGTTAGCTGAGAGCCCTGCCCCACGATCGCAACGGTTCGTCAAGGATTTACAGACTGCACAGAAAAACGCTGCCGAAGCCATTTCAAAAGCCAACCTTATGGCCAGACGGTACGCGGACAGGCATCGACGGGATTTACCCTTGTCTCCTGGGCAACTAGTCCTTCCAGATACCAAGATACCCCATAAACTCCGCCCGAGATTTTGTGGGCCCTTCCGGATTGTCCGAATGGTGATACATGTCACCGCCAAGTTACTATTACCGGACGCCTGGTGTATCCACGAGTCATTCCATGTCAGTCTCCTTCGACAATTCGTTGCAAACACGGTTGTTCTCGACCATCAATGAATCTATCCTTCGGTCAGACCGGTCCCTGAGCCAACCACCGAACCACAGCAAATCCTCTCCCACTGAATCCGCCGAGACCAAGGTCAGCGGGTTCTGGAATTTCTGGTTCGATGAGTTGACCGTACGTGCGATGATGACATATGGGTCCCAGCTGCTACCCTCGACAACCACCCATTGGTGCAGACCTATTTACATGATCGGGCTGCCCCAAATGTGGGTAGTCTCGTCTAGGGGGGGGGAGAAGGTGTAAGGAAAATCCATTTTTCTTATCGAGCCTCGTTAACATCGAGTACAGCCCCGACATTCAGAATTCCAGGCTCGGCCCAACAATTCAGATTTGAACTATGTTCGAGACCCCAAGCTTGCATGCGGCGTCGCGTCCGACACTTCCGAGTCCCGAGGCGCCCCGAACCACCTCGCATGTGTTTCGTGGCTTTCCTTGAGGCTCTCTCGCTAGGCTAGCTGTGCTTGCATTTAGCCCTATACTTCGTTTGTACTCAACACATTTTGATCACGACCTCACGATTGTACTCCTATCCGGATCATAACAGTGAGCCTTGTTGACTACACCCAAGGATTCGATTAAATAGCACGTATTACATTACGCTTTTTGTTACACTCACCTCAAGTTTGGTTCAGGTTTGTACTATCGCACAGAGAGCGAGCCCTGTCGAACGAGGGTTTCTCAGGCGAGAGAATGTATAGCGGTACAATCACCAAGCAGATAAAACAATCGTTCCCGCCCGAAACGAAACCGCAGACTTGAACGAATACTTGATGTACATCTGTTGCGATGGAACCTGGCTCTAGAGTAGAGTCACGTCATGCTATGATGGGATTGATTTTAATGCTTAGTCCCACTTATCGCTCGCGTCAGTTTGGCATCGTTCACTATTTTGGGAAATGAACCAAACTCTATTAGGCTTGAAAGCATCGTTTCTATGCTTACGCAGTGCGAATTGCAACCTGAACATTCACCACCTCCTGCGCAATTTCAAAGGCAACTACTAAGAGTCGGTTTTGGTATCCCTCGTTTCAAATATGAAGCCTGTTATGGTTTTGGGGCTCGTAAAGACCACGTGGAATCGATTGTATTAAACGCCCCATCCTCATCCCATCCCTTCTCTTTCTCGTGATAATGACATGCGTCAATGGCTAGCGCCCCTGCTAGGTACTGTACTATTTCGCAGTCTCTACGGCCTGAAATCATGGACACTCAGACAGGGGGAGGGCGTGACTGATGGCAAGCTGCGCAACAGCGTCACGCGACTCCCAGATAGAGCGGGCGAGCTCAACACCTGCGAAAGCCTCACGCTCAGCAGGTGTGGGGCCGTCAGGGAGGGCAGCAGGCGGGTCGGGGCAGGAAAGCTTACCGTAGACATGGACGGCCAGGGACTGGCTGTCCTGGCGCTGACCCTTCTGCTGGTGGCGCAGGTCAGCGAGCCACGCCTCAGCTAGCTGGGGCAGGCGACGAGCGCAAGCCGCAACGAGATGGGGCTGGCAGCGAGCTGAGGGGCCGACGGCGAGCAGGGGCCGCGGCGAGCTGGGGCTGCGCGGCGAGCAGGGGGCCGCGACGAGCTGGGAGCCGCGGCGAGCTGGGGCCGCGACGAGCTAGGAGCCACAGCGAGCTGGGGCCGGCGGCGAGCGGGGGCCGCGGTGAGCTGGGACCGCGGTGAGCGGAGGGCCGCGCGGCGAGACACGGCCTCACGACGAGCTGAGGCCGTCGCGGCCGGCTAGGGCGGCGCAGCAGGAAGGGGCCGACACGGCGGGCTGGGCGAGCGCGACAGCTTGGGGCCGGCGCAGTTACGTGGTACGACAAGCTAGGGCTAGGGGCGACGCTCTACGGTAGGCTGGGGCAGAAGCGCGAGTGAGTGGGACCTACCTAGCATGATACCATGTTAGAATAGCAAAGTGACTAGAAACAAGGCAGTACAGGAGTGATATTGGGTTGGTGTGGTACCCTCTAAGAACACAACCCTGTCTAGCCTACAACTTCTAAATGTAATGCACACGTATAAGTTGACAAGAGTTCCCAAGTCTTCCGCGCCTATCCTAACGAGGGGGGGTGTCGAGAGGCCCACTGGGGTTGCCTTTGAGATCCTCAGGGAAGGGTCACAGGTACAGAGCCTGGGGGGTTATGGGCGCACTTACCCGCTACTAAACAAGCCTTTTTAACTCAGTGGTTAGTGACTGAGTTATGACAATACAAGCAGCTGAACATTTAAGAAATGAAACACATACGAGAAACTATACACCTCAAAATGGATTATGGAACCCACGAGAGCAGTTATACACAATAGGTGGTTTCAGAAGAAACCCCCATACACTCAGATGTGATGGGATTGGTTGGACCTTGGGGCTTGCCACAAGCTCAGCTCTTCAGCACAAGTCTCCGATGTTTCTGCCCTCTGTTGGAAGCACCTGACGGTTCCTGCAGCCTGGTAAATTCACCTGAGCTGCGCCCTGAGTGTAGGGGCACCCCCAGATACTCTAGGTGGTTGGCAATGCTGTCCCCCACAACAGACCTGGCGATGGGTGGGAGGTCATAGAAGGGGGAGGGTGTATGAAGAGGGGAGGTGGTGGTGTGGGTTTGAGGGTGAGGGGGAGGGGGAGGGTGTACTCCCCTCTCAAACCCACCTTCAAAAGTAAGTTAGCAGCACAGACTGCAGAATTTATCCACCTTCAGAAAATGGGCAGGACTGCTAAAAATGACCTGCCACATCCTAGAATCCGCAGCCACACTGCTACAACCAGTCTGCTACATCCTACACTCTGCAGCCACACCGCTACAACCAATCTGTTACATCCCCGCAGCCACACCGCTACAACCGGTCTGCTACATCCGAGCAGCTCAATCCTCCCAGCAACCCACCTGCTGCAGCAAGGGTCTTCTCCTGTCTCGTCACACTGGTGTACATGCCACGTCAGATTACCTGCATGCCACGTGGAATGTAGGGTGAGGAGCAGCAAGGGACGACAATGACTCCAGAAGATTGGTGTGTGTGTGGGGGGGGGTTGCGAGTGTTGCTGGTGACAGGGGAAAGAGGAATGGACAGGACACAGGTGCATGTGAACGTGCATGTGTGTGTGTGAATGTGGGCAGGGGAAGGATGGTGGGTGGGGACGGAAGGGGGAGAGGGTAAGAGGGGGAGGTGGAGAGGGAACGAGTAGGGGCATGTATGTGGGGGATGGCACCTTGATGTGCGGCGTGGCCGTTTCTTTCGTCAAGCAGAATAAGCTGCTCTTGCAATACTCGGTGTTGTAACAATTGCCGTTGTAACAAATCGCTCTGTTCCGACTGGCGATGTAACAGTTGGTGCCGTAACGATTGTCGTTGTAACCAAGAATGGCCAGGACGCTCCCTTGCATTTGACAAGACCAGAGTGGGTGCTCCCAAATCTTCTGAAGCGGGTTGTGCTGAAGCGGGTTGTGCTGAAGCGGGTTGTGCTGAAGCGGGTTGTGCTGAAGCGGGTTGTGCTGAAGCGGGTTGTGCTGAAGCGGGTTGTGCTGAAGCGGGTTGTGCTGAAGCGGGTTGTGCTGAAGCGGGTTGTGCTGCAGCGGGTTGTGCTGAAGCGGGTTGTGCTGCAGCGGGTTGTGCTGAAGCGGGTTGTGCTGCAGCGGGTTGTGCTGCAGCGGATTCCATCATTGGCAATGTTTCATGACTGAACGAGTTTTGAGGCGCCTCAAAAGTTTCATGACTGAACGAGAGCTTCTGCACCGAATCGGGAATTATCCAAACCTGGCACAAGAGTGAGAGAGTGGAAATCAGAATCACCAGACACGAAGGAGGGAAGGAGAAGAGGGAAAGAGAGAGCAAGGCAGGGGAGAGGGGGGAAAGGCGTATAAACAGCATCGAGGCACCACGTGGTTTCAAATTCTTCGGAAAACTCTCACCTCAGTAACAACGTGGTGATAACAAATGCTGACTGGCGGCTAGTGTAGAAACATAGGGGCAATAAGAAAGTTCATTGCATTCTTAACTAAGTGGCAAAATGGTGGCAACCAGCTAAGTGGAGAAATACGCGTCCAGCGTATTATACGCAAGCGTATTATACGCTAGCGTATATACGCTGTACGCTTCATTATGGGATTGGATACGCTAGGAAATACGCTCTGGCGGGCAGGTATAAAAACAACTCGGGCAGGGGTAAAAAAAACCTGTTTGGGGAGGGAAGAGGGGGGGTTCAGAGCACCAAATTCCCCCCACCAAATGTGGCATCATTTAGCATGGTAATAAATAAATAGTTCAAGCCACCAAGGGCATGTCAAGGGTTCCAAACTCCAACAACCAGCCAACCACCCATCTCAGGTAAGCCTCCCCCAAACCGCCCGCCTAACCCTCTCCTGCTCTGCTCTACAGGTACTCGTCCAGCAGCTCCTCATCTTCGCCCTCCTCATCCTCCTCCTCCCGATCCACCCTGTACCCCGCAGGGACGGGGGCGTCCGGGATGTTACCGGACACCACCCCCGCCCCCTCGTCGGCCATGTGCCAGTTGTGCACAACCTTCCAGTTGTGCGCAACGTAAACCAGATCCTTGCACTTTTCTGAACCCAGCCGGTTGCGTCGGGCGGTGTGGACAGTATCCCACACCGCCCAGTTGCGCTCGCAGCTGGATGCAGACACCGGCTGAGTTAGCACTCGGCAAGCAAGGGCCATGAGCAAGGGGTGGTCAGTGCCGTGCCACTCCCACCACGCCTCCATGGAATAACTTCCTTCCTTCACCAACTTCCGGTCACTGATGGCCTCAGCCGTGCCGAAGCTGCCCCTCAACTTCAGAAAGGCGGCCAACCCTTCCTGCAGGAGGAGTGTGGCACGCTTGGGCAGGCCATCCCTATGGGGAATCATCACCCCGCCATAGTGGCGGGCAATGAAAGCTTTGAACACATTGGTGCACTCCGTGTCCGGCCCAAAAATCCGCTCCTCCTGGTTGACCGGGTTAAGAATCCGCCCGACCACGTGCAGTGGGCAAGCCATACTCTCATCCCAACGCCGCTTCACAATCTCATTGACGCCCTTCTTGTCTCCCGCACTCAGCACCCCATCCCCCTCCTCCTTCAGCAGTTCTGCCACATTCACAGTGAGCTCAAGCATCAGCTCATAGATGCGGCCCATCATCCCTTTCGTTGCCGAATCCGTCGCCCTCATGGCCTTGAACGGGAGCAGGAGCAGCCTCTTGAAGAGCTCAGCCGCTGGCCACCAGTCCTTATCCATGATCTGGTCGTGGAATGTCTCTGCAGCTGCCTTCTTTGGGCCCACCGCCCACTCCGCCTTCCATGCATCGCAGAGCACCATGGTCACCAGCGTTGACCGCAACTCCACCAGGCGGGACACAGCAATGTGCTGCGTCCCAAACCTGGTCCCCGCCGGCCTCAGCATCTGCAGCCCCTTCCCTCCGTCCACACCCCTGAGATACTGTCGGGTCCAATGGTGGCTGCGGGTGTAGTTGATGAGCTCGCTCGCCCGCCCCACTACCTCCTTGGCCCAAGCCTGCCGTCCCACATCCTCCATAAGGAGGTCGAGCACGTGCGTCGCACACGGCACATGCTCGATGCGCGGATTCTCTGCAATGAGGAGCCGGCAAGCGCTGTGGTAGTTGCTGCCGCCATCGGTGCAGAATGCCACGATGTTCTCGACCCCAACTTTTTGCAGGATGGGCCGGAGGAGCCGGGCGATGTATCCCCCGGTCTTTTTCTCCATCTTGCAGTCAATACTCTCGACGAACACTGCGCCGGTGTCATTGACCAGCATCACATTCGCCTGCGGCCTGCCACACTTGTCGGTCATCATGTCGCTGGCAATCGTCACGCCGTGGCGCTTCCAGCTCGACATGACGCCTGTCAATCCCTCGTCAATCCGCTTGCGGCATAGCTGCAAGCCGGCACCACCCACGTAGTCGCGCTTTGGAGGCACATAGCTGGTCCCCGCGCGCGCGATGGACCGGACGGCGTTGCGCCAAAGCGGGTGGTCGGCATGGCGCTCGGGAAGGCGGAGGCCGGCAAAGAGGAGGCAAATAGCCTCGTCCGCCGCCGCCTTGGCCGCTTGGGCGTCATCGGACAGGTAATCGGTGATCTTCCGCTTTCCCCGACCACTAACGGCGTCGAGGGCCGACTCCTCCGCCCTATGTGCCTCCTCCCTCGCGAGCACTTTGGCGGTTTGGAACGCGCGGACGGCAGCCTGCTCCTCCTTCCCTACCTCCTCGCATTTCCGAACCTCGCGCCTACGCATACCATCCCAACTAGTGATGTGCTGTGCGCAGCGGTAGGCCGTCCCGGTAAAGGATACGGGGCAGTACTTGCACCAATACTTTTGCTGCTTGCCCTGCTCCTTATGCTTAAACTTGAAATGCTTAAAGATAGCGTGGGTGGAGTTCTCCAGGAACTCGTCAGAGGAAGACGCAGCACAGGAGGTTCCCGCGTCGGTTCCGTGGGAACCAGGACTAGGTGGAGGGTTCGACATAGCAACAGTCGCTAAAAGACCAGCTAGCTAGTCGCGCTAGCTTGGAAGAAGAAATGACTGAAGTTAGCGCGCCAGTTTACTTGTACCCTGATTTCGTCGTAGGAGTGAACTGCGCTGAACCCTGCTGGAGTAGAGTAGAGAGGGAGAGGAAGGAGATTTCTTTGGGTGTTGTTTGGAAGTCGCGGATTGGGTGGGATGCTGTGTGGTTGGGAGGGGCGAAGGGGTTGGGTTGACGATTTGAAAAGCCAAATTTCGGTTTGCGACATGACGAAATCCCTGTGGGGTTTCGTCATGTCGCAAATTTGTCGCACCGTTTTTTGCGTATTTCTTGCCGGGCTGCCCGCCAAGAAATACGCTAGCGTATTGCGTACTTAGCTAGCGTACAGCGTATTCGTATTATACGCTAGCGTATGTACGCAATACGCTAGGCTGCCCAAGCGTATTTCTCCACTTAGGCAACCAGTGGTTACAGGCAGTAAATGCAGCACGCACCTACCATGACATCCTGCTACCTCACCTCTGTAGCCACGTGGTGGTAGCCAATGGTTGCGGGCGGCAAGTGCGGCACGAGATCCTTCCAGTTGGTGACCCGGATGCTTCTAGGAGCCTTCTGGCTGAAGTAGGCAGCGAAAACAGCGTTGCCCACTCGAGGCGAGCCAAAAGTGACGACTCGAATGTCGGATGACTGGAGGTCGTAGGACACCTGGGGTAGAGGGAGAAAGGGTGGGGGGTTGAGGAGGGGGGGGGGTGGAAGGGCAAGGAGAGCCGAGACGAGAGAGTTTAGGGCAAACACAGCGTTGCCCGCTTGAGGCGAGCTGAAGGTGACGACTCGAATGTCGGATGACTAGAAGTCGTAGGACACCTGGGGTAGAGGGAGAAAGGGTGGGGGTTGAGGGGGGGGGGGGGGAGAAAGGAGAGCCAAGTCGAGAGAGTTTAGGGCAAACTCAGCGTTGCCCGCTTGAGGGGAGCTGAAGGTGACGACTCGAATGTCGGACGACTGGAGATCGTAGGACACCTGGGGGAAAGGAAGAAAGGGTGTGAGGGAGGAGGGGGAGGGGAAGGGGAGAGATAGGGGAGGGGGGAGAGAGAGGAAGAGAGAGTGAGGGAGATTCGCCTACCTGCAAGTCCAGTGCACTGAGTGTGGCCAGACAGAGAGATTATTTTTCAGGCGCCTCAAAATTAGACTCCTCCTACAAGACCAGTGCACTGAGGGTCGCCAGATCGCCACAGAGAGAATGCCTGTGACGGCAACCCGATACGACCCAAGCAGTATGTATGGCCAACAGAAACAGCACTGCGTGGACACTCCTACCAAGTGCAGTGCACTGAGTGTGGCCACAGCGACACTGAGAGAATGCCTGTGACAGCAACCCGATACGACCCAAGCAGTATGTATGGCCAACAGAAACAGCACCGCGTGCACAACAGCAGGCCGTAGCCGCGTGGGGTGGCAGGCGGAGAAGAATCCCCGGTGCAGACAGGCGTGGTTAAGGGTGAGAGCTTTTGAGTCGACTCAAAAGTGGCAGGCGGAGAAGAAGCCTTGGTGCACGCAGGCGTGGCGCAGACCGGACCAGGGTAGTTGAGTTGACGGAGAGAGGCATGTGTGAGAGCGAGGGCGAAAGGGGGAGAAACGGGAGAAAGAGTGACCAAGAAAGAGCGATCGCCTACCTGCAAGTCCAGTGCACTGAGGGTCGCCAGAGCCCCTCCAAGGGAGTGCCCTGTGATTGCCACCCGATATGATCCGGGAAGAATAGTGAGGAGAAACAGCACCGCGTGCACGACAGCGGGGCGCAGGCGCGTGAAGTGGTAGGCGGAGTAGAAGCCCCGGTGCACACGGGCGTGGCGCAGACCGGGGTAGTTGAGGGAGAGGGGCACGGCTTCGAGGTCTGCGATCCAGTTGCGCAGGGAGGAGGTGCAGGTGCCTCTGAAGGAGACGATGATGAGGTGAGACGCGGGGTCCCAGCCCACATAGGCCTGTGAGGGAAGGAGCAAGCGGGCAGAAGAGGGGTGGAACTAGGAAGGTTGTAGAGGGGAGAGGGGCATGGCTTCGAGGTCAGCGATCCAGTTGCGCAGAGACGAAGTGCAGGTGCCTCTGAAGGAGACGATGATGAAGTGAGACGCGGGGTCCCAGCCCACATAAGCCTGAAGTGCAGAGGGGTGGAAGGGGAAAGAAGGGAGAGGGAATTGGGAGGCCAGCGATCCAGTTGGGCAGGGAGGAGGTGCAAGTGCCTCTGAAGGAGACGATGATGAGGTGAGATGCAGGGTCCCACCCAGCCCACATAGGCCTGTAGAAGGCGGGAGAAGGCAAATGCAAAGCTGACGAGGGATGAAGGTGCAGGGTGGGCGTTTGAGGTGCCCTGCTGCACACGGAAATTTCCTTCTCTAGTGCCCTGGTGGCAACGGGTGTCTCCCAGAACGCGGTAGTTAAGGGAGAGAAGCACGACTTCTGATTGCACTGTGCCGAAGATTTCCTTCTCTAATGCACCACCACAGCACTCTACTACGCCTACCTCCAGGCAGGAAAGATGTGGGTTCCACGATGATCTGAAACAGATGAAATCTTCCCAAGGTACCCTGAGCCTTACATCTGCTTCAGATCATCATGAAAGCTGGGGTACCCTGAGCCTTACCTGCAGGCGTCTTACCTGCAGCCGTCTTACATGCAGGCATCTTACATGCAGGCGTCTTACATGCACGTGTCTTACATGCAGGTGTCTTACATGCAGGCGTCTTACATGCAGGCGTCTTACATGCAGGCGTCTTACATGCAGCCGTCTTACCTGCAGGCGTCTTACATGCAGCCGTCTTACCTGCAGGCGAGCTCCACGATGATCTACGATGACCTCTCACCTGCAGCACCAGCAGCAGTTTCACTCATACAACGATGCAGCGTCCTCACTGTACACTGTAGCGGCATGCATCAAATACCCCCTCCCCTAGAGTACCCTACGCCTTACCTGGATGCAGCGATGCAGCGTCCTCGCTGTACACTGTAGCGGCATGCACCAAATACCCTCGCTAAGCTACCCTAGACGGTATTCCCCAAGGTACCCTGAAAGCCGTACCTGCAGGCGAGCAGTGGGTTCCACTATGATCTGGAACAGATGGAACCACCTCATCTCTGGCAGCACGCACTGGGAGCAGTTCCACGCGTGTAAAGATGCGATGTCTTCGTTGTACACTGTAGCGGCATGCAGCAGAAGCAGCTGAACCAGTGGCATGTCAATATCGAAGACGTTACTGTTGCTGCTGGTGCTGCTGCTGCTGCTGGTGCTGGTGCTGGTGCTGGTGCTAGTGCTGGTGCTGCTGGGGAAACTGCTGCTGTTGCTGTTGCTGCTGCTGCTGCTGTCACTGCTGCTGTTGCTGCTACTGTTGTTGCTGCTGCTACTGTTGCTGCTGCTGTTGCTGCTGCTGTTGCTGATGCTGTCACTGCTGCCTGTGCTGAAGAAATTTGTGCGTGTGACAGTAACGAAGGGCTTGTGTCTCACACAGTGCCACGGCCGCCAGTGGGGAAAATTGGACGGAGACGGTTGCTGATTGTGTCCCACGCTGTCAGAAACACTCAGCTGCTCTTTCTGTCCGTCTCCGTCAGAAACAACCAGCTGCTCTTTCTGTCTCACTCCGTCAGAAACAACCAGCTGCTCCTTCTGTCCGTCTCCGCCTGACAAAGAGAGTCGCTCATACGGCTCCACTCTGCCTCCAGTGTATTTTTGAGGCGCCTCAAAAGTATGCTCCTTCTGTCCCTCTCCGCCTCCAGTGTATTTTTTAGGCGCCTCAAAATCATGCTCCTTCTGTCCGTCTCCGGCTGACAAAGTGAGTCGCTCATACGGGACCACCCTGCCTCCAATGTCTCCGGGACCTAAATGATGAACCTGCGACGAGCGAACTGATGGGTCATGCGATGTGCGAAATGATGGGTCCTGCGACGAGCGAGCTGAGTGGTCATGCGACGAGGAGGAGCGAACTGACGGGTCATGCGACGAGTGAACTGATGCGAAAGAACGCAGGAGATTATGGACGTCATAATTGGCCTGAGCGAACAGAGACCGGAGATACGTGTAGCTGACCGAAACTGGCCGTGTTCTGAGTCTACGCCTGACCGGAATCGGTGAGCCTAGAGTGGAATCAACAGACGGCGAAGGGGAACGTGATGGCTGCGAGGGAAACCAGCAGAAGGTGACGGCTGAAAGGAAAAAGATGCCGGCTAAGGCGAGGAGACTAACGGTGACGGTGACGGAACGACTTGGACGCCATGGGACGGAATCTGTCTTCATTGTCGCAAAACCAATTTCTTTGGGGTACTCCAAGTGGAATTGCTCCGAAGTGTTACTAGCGAACCGATACTGTCGAGCGTGACACTGCCGAACGTGACACTGGTGAGCGTGATTACGGAACGTGACACTGTGAAGGAGGAGCCAACCACGGAAACAACACGTAGACGAGGATAACACCGACTAAGGAAGGGAGGAGGGAGCTTGATTTAGGAGACATGCGGTGAAGCATGGAATCCACAGCGAGCAGCAGCACGCACGGGTGAAAGAAATCAAACGAGCGGGATGCAGCCTGGTAAAGAGTGGGATGACGATTTGACGAAACGAGAAGATAAAAGCTAGCGATTCCGGGTCTCACATCCTCGCCGTCCCAATTTTCTTTCCCCAGGTGACAAACACACACACGCGTCACACGCGTCACGACGCCTCGAGGTCTGAGGAGGAACCGCTAGCAACTTATTTAGGACCATAGGCTACTAGAACCTGTGTGTCAAGAGGAGAGCCACACAACCATGCTCGAAGACCCCAGGGTCTGAACGCGGTGTGTAGGTGTGTGAATATCTTCAGAGGCATTCAGAGGTCTCAAGGGATTTGCAGAGGCTTGTGGAGGTTTTCATGAGGTTTGTAATGTTAGCCTTCCAAATTTCATTGCTGGCTGCAAGTGTGAGACTGTACCATGCCGCTTCACACGTAATCGCAGTGTGGCCGAGGCGGTGATGCTGGTACAGTGATGGCTGACGTGTCGTAGCCCGCCTATGACGAGAGGGGAATTCTGTGTGGTCAGAGGAGCTGTCTCAGAAATGAAGCCTTCGCTAAGAGAATGCGCTCTTTGCTAACAAGGCCCCGCATTTCAAACAGATTATGGATTCTCTGTGCACTCACGCCAATTTTGTGACAAAACAAAAAAACAAAGTAGAACCTCAATCCACTAAAATCAAACAAACAATTACATGCATATATATACCTCCTTGCCAAATCACGAAGGCATCTATCATGGCAGATTGATATTCATTAGGGGCCTCACATGCGTGATTGCAAATGAGGCGAAAGACCTACCAGGGATTTGGAAACGTATAGGTAATCCTTTGTAGTTAACTTGTACGAAGTCCTCCGAGTAAGACGTCCTCCAGGAGAGCACCTTCGACTTGCCGCCTACATTCTTCTGAAACCACAGAGTGAGGAAAATCTTCACCTTCCTCGAAGTTGCCTTCTGATTCACCACAAACACGCTGATCATCCTCTTTTTAGGAATGTAGAAAGCTGCAATCCCGTAGTTACACGCCACCTTGTTGAGCACCAGCCTCCTGCTGCCTGGAGGAGCAAGACTCGTAAAATGCTTCATGATCCAAAACTTCTTGGAGACCGTCGGCGGAGTGTACACTGTAGACGAGTCCGGCGTTTTCGACCAGTCAATATTGATCAGCCCCCAGGTCGATGACGGGTCCATCGCTTGCCAATACACCCACCCAGAAGCTTCTAAAATGTTTAGCGATGCTATAATGGATCTTGCCATGTACAGTGCCACGCCCATATCATCCCCGTCTCGACTCAGAGGCCCCCATTCCGAAATCCACACCGGCTTTGTCACCCCCTTTGCTGCCACTTTCATATCGCGGAAGTTTTTGCTCGTCCACGCGACCGGATCCGACCCGTTTTTCGCCAGGCTCATGTAACCATGCACGTTGTAGCGGCTTACATACGAGTCCAACGCCGAAACGGTTTGCGGAGTGCGCTCCACAAAGCTATCCACAGCAGCAATCTTCGTTTTAAGCTGCTTCCTTTGAAGAGCAGCTTGGGTCTTCTGTAGAACGCGCCTCATCTGATCAATGCCGATGTTACACCCCTCCTGCCCTCCCCCTTTCCTCCACCACCCCTCCAAAGCCTCATTGAAAGGCTCCACGGTCTCAAATACAATACCCTTGCCCCAGGTTTTATCTGTAGCGAATTTCTGTACCACATCCGTCAGAAAATCTGCAAAAGAATCCTCGTGCTCCTCCTTCAGATTCCCCTCGCCCCATTTGGCCGCCCCAGCAACATCCCCAGATACGGTCATCCACCAGGGCGGGCTGTTGGCAAAGGCTTCAAACGTGTCTGCCCCCCGCGCCCGGGCAGCAAGCAAAACTTTCCGCTGCCTATCATCCGCTGACCAGTCGTAGGCCGCTGTCTCCGTGGCCTTAAAGCCCGGCATGCCCCGCCATTTGAGATTGTCGGTTTGAAACTGGGGGCTGTTGGTAGCGTTGTTGCCGCCTCCTATGTTGTAGCGGACTATGTTGAGGTTTAGACCAGATGGGGAGAATAGGAGGTCCATGAGAGGGTTGAAGTGGGCATCGGGGAAGCCTCCCACGAAATTTCCTAGCCTGGCAAGCAGGGAGGGAAAGAAGGAGAGTTCAGGGAGAGTTCGGGAGAAGAGTGCAATGCCAGGTGGGAGTGTGCTTGGATGGTTGGGGAGGGGAGGATAGGAGATCCATGAGAAAACAGTGCTGTTGAGGTGCACATGGTGCTTGAATCCTAGCCTGGGAAGGATCGGGAGAACAGTGCTTTGTTAGTTGAGAAGTGACGTTGCTGCGTTAAGGGATTGAGTGGGGTGAATTACCCTCAGCGAAAGAAAAAGGTCAGTCTCACCAGTAAATGAAGGTCAGAAGGAGGGGGAAGAGCGCGGGGGAAGCGGAGGGGAAGAGAGGGGGAAGCGGAGGGGAAGCAGGGGGGAAGCGAGGGGGGGGGGGACAAGGGGGAAGAAAGAAGAGGAGCAGTCATACCAGCAGGGGGGGGTCAAAAGGGGGGGAAGGGGAGAAAGGGCGGGAAAAACCGGGGAGAGATGAAGGGCGGTCTTACCAGCAGAGGGATTTGCCCCAGCCTAACCCAGCCACGCAGAGTGGGGGGGGCGGGGGGGAGGGGTGGCTTACCAGCAGAGGGAGGTGCCCCAGCCTCGCCACTTGTTCCGCCAACGTGGGTTCAGCGTCACTGACGCGGAGCCTGGGAAAGGGAGGGGGAGTGGGGATTGGGGAGTGGGGAGTGGGGAGGGGGGAGGGGGGAGGGGGGAGGGGGGAGTGGGGAGGGGGGAGGGGGGAGTGGGGAGGGGGGAGGGCAGATTGGGGGACAGCAGCGAAGCATTCAGCCCACTTGTTCCGCCCACGTGGGCTTAGAGTCACTGACGCGGAGGCTGGAGACCGGGCGAGAGGGGAACAGGCGTGCAGAGACATGAGGCGTGGAATGTAACGGTCGGCGGATGCGGGATCTGGGGACATGAGGCATGAGACATGAGACATGAGACATGAGACATGAGACATGAGACATGAGACATGAGACATGAGACATGAGACATGGGACATGAGACATGAGACATGGGACATGATACATGAGACATGCGACATGACGCATGCGACATGAGACATGAGACGTGCGACATGAGACATGAAACATGAGACATGCGACATGAGGCATGGGACATGAGACATGCGACATGAGACATGCGACATGACGCATGCGACATGAGACATGAGACGTGCGACATGAGACATGAGACATGAGGCATGAGGCATGCGACATGAGACATGAGACATGAGACATGAGACATGAGGCATGCGACATGGGACATGAGACATGAGACATGGGACATGAGACATGCGACATGTGACATGAGACATGAGACATGAGACATGGGACATGAGACATGCGACATGACGCATGCGACATGAGACATGAGACGTGCGACATGAGACATGAGGCATGCGACATGAGACATGAGACATGCGACATGAGGCATGGGACATGAGACATGCGACATGAGACATGCGACATGACGCATGCGACATCAGACATGAGACGTGCGACATGAGACATGAGACATGAGGCATGAGGCATGCGACATGAGACATGAGACATGAGGCATGCGACATGAGACATGAGGCATGCGGCATGAGACATGAGACATGAGGCATGAGGCATGCGACATGAGACATGAGACATGAGGCATGAGGCATGCGACATGAGACATGAGACATGAGACATGAGACATGAGACATGAGGCATGAGACATGCGACATGCGACATGAGGCATGAGACATGCGACATGAGACATGAGGCATGAGGCATGCGACATGAGACATGAGACATGAGACATGAGACATGAGACATGAGACATGAGACATGAGACATGAGACATGAGACATGAGGCATGAGACATGCGACATGAGACATGAGGCATGAGGCATGCGACATGAGACATGAGACATGAGGCATGAGACATGCGACATGAGACATGAGGCATGAGGCATTCGACATGAGACATGAGACATGAGGCATGAGGCATGCGATATGAAGCGAGAGACGCAAGGTGAGAGACGCAAGAAGACAATACCAATCGAAGCGCTAAATTCCGCAGCACGGGATCGAGAGGGGAAGAGGAGGTTGAGAAATAAGTGTACGCAACGCACCTGCTCCAGTGCATATATCGAAGAGCTCAGTAGCGGGAGTGAGGTTCGGCGCGGAACTCTCTGTTAGGGGCCGACTCGAACCACCGCTGGACGCGACTCGCACGCTGGCGAGCGACGCTCCTTGCGACTCGACTGTTCGCGAGAGGTTGTCGCCACAAGGGATCGGAACCGGGTGCGGCGACGGCCCTTGGCGAAAACAAATGGGAGGACCCACGGGATCCCCTGATGTGCCTGAAACGACCGGAAGCGTGATATTAACGGAGTAGTCTATACCGGGGACATCTGGAATTATCTCGTCGCTGGGAGACGGGGCGGGAGCACTTGCGGGCGCTTTTCCGGGAACTCCAGCGGAAGATGCGGCGCAAAATACGCAGAGTAGGAGGAAAATAAGGTAGAGTTTACGGGAGAATGAGCGGAGGTCTCGGGGCGCCATAATCCGTCGGGAACAGTGTCAAACGCTGCTTTCGCTCCCGCGGAAAATACTATTTCCGTCAGACAATTTCCGTCAGTAATGATCGCCGTCAGCCACTCAAATCGTCCGCTGTCCGTCAATCGCGAACCGTCCGCCACTGATACGTCTCGTCTACAGGTCGAAAAGAAGAGGAAGAAAGGCGAATCATGTAGAAGGGACGTGTCGCGAAGCTAAAGCGTTATCGGCCTGCTTCAGCTGATCTTTGGGCGTAATCCGCCATGGGTGCTACAGTAGCAATACACATGCGAATTGAATTACCTATGTATTGGAGCTTGGCTACTCGATGAGGGGCTTGGAGAATTAAATATGAAATTACCACTACTAAGCCCTCGAAAGGTCTAAAATTTGACGCGAAGGCCGAGCGTGCCCGAGAACAGCGACTAGTCACGCCGCGAGGAGCCTCAGATTGACGCGTTTAGTCTCGAGGTCTGCATCAGGGAGCAAGTCGGAACTAACTAGGAAACTGCGACCATAATCGCGCACAGCGCATACCGTCGGTCGAGGCAACGCCCAAGTTCCGTACTCCAAGTAGAGACGTCCAACGGAGCACCGATAC